TCCATACTGATAAGATTAGGGACAACAGCTTTCAATTGAAGAAGGCAGGTTGAGATTGGACATTAGGAAGAAATTTATGATGAGGGTGGTGAGACAAGACAAACAGATTGCTTAGAGAAGCTGCAGATGCCCCGTCCATGGATGTGTTCAAGGTCAGGGTGGGACTTTGAGCAGCCTGGTCTAGGGGAAGGTGTCCTGCCCATGGCAGGGGGTGAAATGGGATGGCCTTTAAGGATCCCTTCCAACCCAAATCATTCTAATGATTCTGGCACTGATTTCTAGCCGTAAGTGATGGGAAATACTTCTCCTCATGCCACCCCAAGGTACCAAGGACCTTTTAGCCAAATTTTTAGACTTATTGTCCTCTAGAATTCAACTTTTCTAAAACATCTCAATTGGAGTCACAACTGAGTCATCGTTGAATCTTACTTTTACTCTTAAAACAGCATGAAGTTTCTTGAAATAGTGTAAAGTTTTAGAAAGAGAAATGCTGCTTTAGTTGCAAAACCTCCTCAGAGGTGTACATTAACATATAAAGAGTAACAGAAAGGGTTGGAAGGGATCTTAAAGATCATCAAATTCCAACCCTATTGCCATGGGCAGGGACACCTTCCACTAGAACATGTATTTTAAGTCTTTAGTTAATCTGAAATCAAAATTCACATTTTGGTTGCTATCATTTATAATGCACTGATTCAGCATGGGAATACAAATGCACTAAAGAAACATTGATTCCTTAGAGAGTTATATTTTCTGGTTTCACACCTTAACAGCATCACATTAAACACCATGGATCCTTCTAAAAAGTAACTGGTATGATTTTATACAGTTGCCTCCAGAAAATAATTTAAGATCATAATAAAAACAGAGGAATAAAAACCAGACTTTGACCACTTTCCCTTCTTGTTGTACAGAAGAGGGGTTATGTCAAAATAGTTTAAGTGCTCAGCATGAGCCCTAGAGAAAATTGAAGTGCTGTGATTATATCTGAAGGTCATCTTTAATGCTATTAGGGACAAAAACTTGGGGCAAGGTGGGGGAAAAGGGAAGAGCTATAGGAAGCAGCTATATCCTCCAAGATCAATGATGAGAGAAGAACATTCCTGAATGTAAAGCTCACAACACACACAGAGCTCTTCCAGAACAAATTCCATCCAGTCACTCACAAAACCTTGGCTCTAGAATAATAAAAATTTAGTCAAGAAAATCAGGAACAATCCAAAAAAAAAATACAGAGCTGCCAAACTACAACCATCAAGAAATTACTTACCACACACAGGAATGTCTACACAAGATAGAATTTTTGTATGCAAACACAAACGTACTGTTTTCTACAAAATAAAATTTTGTTATGGAGCTAAAAATAGATAAGATGCATTATATCCAGTTCCCATATGTCTGATAAGGAGCAAAAAAAGCATAAATTAGTATTTTTTTAACTGAAGCTGTTCAGGAGTAATAAAGGTTTTAAAAGTTGGAACTTAAACACACTCAACAGTATGTTTCATGTAGCAAGGCTTGTTTCATAAAACCATTCTGCAGATTACAAAGAAAGGTTAGGATCAAGGTTTTAAACTTCGTTTTGCAAGTCTTCTGAGGCTTTGCTTCAACTTCTCCTGGATATCTCAGGGATGCTGCCTATTGAAACTGTTTTATCCAACACTGAGACAAAGCCTTAAAAGCTTTGCTTCAACAAAAGTATTATTCATTGACATCCATTTCTGCTAAAAAAGAAACAGAGCATTATAACTGAGTTTGAGATCTTCAGCTCAATGCCTGTACAATCTCAGTAGCAACAGAATTGAACTTCATTTAAGGAATATGGTAACAGAGCACTTCAATTTGAGAGAAAAGTGTCTTGCAGTTTAAGAAAAGCCTTGAAGTAAGGACAAGTCAAACAGATACCCTTTCACTTGGCTTTAGAATATATATGTGAAAAATGCTGATGAAAAAACCACAACCTTTTACTGCCATCTCTAAATCAAACACTAATAACATTTAAATTTACCCTGAAGACACTTCAGTAGTTGTAGACCTACTATTCAAGATTCTGTAAAGCTGTCTATCTCTTGCATAAAATGCAGATTTGAAAGAATACTTTACCAAAATCCAGGACAGAACTAGTGATGTTAGAAACATAGTACTCTAAAAACTACTTATATATGCACATATTAGGTACTAACAGTGTAAATTAATTAATCAAGCTTTGATGATAGGATCCAACCAAACAATAGCTTCTGTATCCCAGAAATATTAGCTGAAGGACATGGAAAATTAAGTAAACTGGAAATAGTATTGCAAATTTATCTGTACTGAGCATCTGTAACAGAATCATTACAGGCATCTGGGGCAAAGTTACAAACAGCTATTTAAAAACAAAACAAAAAAAATTGCAAAAAAAATGTCCAAAATCAAATGAAGTCTCCAATTTGAAAGAACTCTTGTATGGCTGATTACAGTGCCAAGAGGTGAACCTTGGTATATAATAACACTACTCAGAACATTAAAATAAAAAAAAAGCAGAATATATATATATTTACACAGTATTACGAAATACAAGAACAACAATTTGATGATTGAGAGATTTTTCTTTTTTCTCCCAGGACACAACCCACAATAAGAATAATTTCTTTAAATTAAGATTCACTCTGCATTTCATTTGAATCATTGTCAGGATACATATAACTAAGCAGATCTATATAAATGGAATATTTCCTTAATTCTGCTTCTTCTAACATGCTTTATCATCTGAGGGAAAATGCTTCAGGGTATTAATCAGAAATTAGTTTACAAGAAATGATAGAAACAAGAAATTAGCTTTCAACTTGCGTTCAGAAATGCAAGATTCAAGTTGCATTAACAAGAACTGTACACAAAACAGAAGATTACCAAAGTAAACATTCACACTTAGGTGCTGCAGCCACAATCTCTGCACTCTGTAACATAAACAGTTATGAACTTTATTTAGATTTTGTTTTCACACTTCAGAACTTGAAGGAGTTGAAACTGTCACCTCAGTACTGCAATGAAGATGGGGGATGCAGGAGTAAAAATAAAACATCTGCTGTGACAAAAAAACAGTAAAAGCAGTAGACTTTGCCTACTCCCAAATCAAACAAAAGCCATTTTCCACAAAGTAAGTGCCACTCAGACAAGAAAATCCAAATTTTACCTCCAGAGCACTTCTGTATCATTTCATCATGACCATGAAAACTTACTAGTACCATAAAAAAAGAACAGCATACTGTGTAAGTTGGAGATACTGCCTGAAATTCACATCAATCGAGGTAAGACAGATTTACTGCTGTGAACTCCATAGGGCCCAGACACAGACTATGCCTAAAGAGCAGCTCAAGGCTAGAAATCAAGTTTCTCACAGTAGGATTGAACATCTCCTATGCTGTGCACTGCTTCTTTACAAAGGCAGCATTCAAGTTCCACAAGACCATTGTTAATTCAGTCCAAATTAACTAAACTTTCATCAATAAATAAAGGTTGTTTCCCCGACCTTTTGCTCTTCTGTTGGGAAACCTTCATGTAATTTTACTGTTGTACTTGTAGGAGGGACTATGTTTGAAGGGAGAAGCTTGAAATAAATACATTCTAATGAAATTCCACATACCTGGACAAAGCAGGAACAGGTACTCCTCTTGCTCGAATTGATGCTTTTCCACGGACAACTGGAACTTCTGCAGTTTCTGAGCCACCATTTAAATATGTTAATTCTTGAAGCTGTGCCTGCCTGATTTCATCATTGTAGTCCTAAAACATGGGGGAGGGAAAGTGAGAAAAAATTAAATCGTTTACCCACTACTCTCAGCAAACAGTGCTCCTCAAAGTTCTCTTAAAAAGTTGAATATTCCACTGAAAAAGTTTAATATGCATAATAAGATAGGAATAATATTCAGTCCAAACATTATTAGGGAACTCTACATAATAACTGACATTTTTGCTCAGGCATGTTTTTCTTTCCCTTTGCATATATTTTTATGTTGCTTTACCAATTAAAATGGCAATGTTAAAATACTGCAGAGATAGAAGATAACCAGAAAAAAAAAAAAATCAAGATCTCATATTCTGAACTGAGATCCAGTAGTTTCCCATAGTTCCAGCTGTTGAATGACTGTGTTAAAAGCAGGAAAAGGAGGAGAAGAGTTGCAAAAAAGTAGAGAATAAATACACTGTTGAGAATTGCAGGTGAAAATGAAGGAATAAATTAGGAATCCACACTTTTAAAGTCAGCAGTTATAGAATAAACAGAGGAATTCATTCAATACACACATGCACTGTTGTCTAATAAGAAGAGCTCAAAAAATTTAATTCTATAATATGCAGTGGTGAAAATGCCAAGGACATATGGCTTATTTCTGTCTGTACAAATTCTCTACTCTCAAGGTCTAGCAAAAAGAAAGCTCAGGTTTTTACACACAAAATTAATATGGTACTTCTCAAGCACAGTTTTCAGAGACCTTGAGTCAACCTCCAAAACAAGCAGAGCACACAGGAATAAAAACACACCCAGCACCGAATGCTTGAGATATAAATATTTTTCTATCATTTCTCCTCCACTTAAACTGAGCCAAGCAGAATGAAGCCATAAAGGTGAATTAAAGATAACTATTTTACCCAAGATGCATCTATACTGAGTATCAAAATATTAATAGGTGCTCCCCTAGGAACAAAAAGATACTTCTGATACAACAGCTCTTCTACAAATCCTCCCATTTCAAGAAGGAAGGTTTGTTCTAACACTGCCCATTTTATAATTCAATGACAAAACAAAATCTGCATCTCACTGCAAATCTGAGTTTATTACATTTATTCACAACACAGGGACCAAAAGATTGTCAGGCAGCCTTATAGACTTTGAAATGTAACCCTGCATTGAAAGGAGATTAGAACTTCCATGAATTCAAATCTCTCAATTATCCTTGAAATAGTCTGCTTCTCCTAGACTTCTATAAATGGAAATAAAAAGTTGTCCTTTATATGCCATTGCTGAAGAAAGTTACTGGTGTTAAAAGAAGCAGCACCATAACAGCATTTTGTCCAAACTGCCTTAAATAGGTTCTGCAATTTAACTCCCAGCTGCCCACCTGACATCCTCTATTTTGCAGCAGAAACCAAACAGCAAATATGAAAAATATCTAGAAGACTGAAATAACTCTTTCAAATGGCATAATTTAAGGTTTTGAGAAACAGATTCCATTATTAAATGGCCAGGACCCAACATGCAACCAATCCATCACAGGGAGTAGGCTACAAACAGGAAACTGAACACTATTCTGGTCAGCTGCTGTACAGAAACCCACTTCGTATTTTTTATTTGTTGCTGGATCAGAACTGGCTACAAATGCAAAATTCTGTGTCCAGTATGGAACAAAACTTCCATCTTGACACAAAATGCCAAGAAGTTGTACCAACAACATACAATATCAAAGCTCTGACAGCCTGACAGTATCAGATGCCCTTTACAATTTCTTTACAAAACATCTTTCTCAGAACTCAGCCCCTGGAAAAATACTTTTGATCATTTAATACTCAATTAATTTAATTCCCTAGCAAAGATGTGCTCGGGTTGCCACTCTGTGTGTTGGGTCCCTTTTCTTTTCTCCCTGATGCTTTCTCACTTTCCTGCAGCACATTACAAACACAGCAGCAGCCTTAGGTCACAGAGCAGGGCTCCACTGTGCACAGCACAGAACAGAAAACAGGGCCCTTATCACACCCGCCAGAGGCAGCAGGAGGATGCAGAGTGAAGGGGCAGCACAAGGCAGCCACGATAAACTGCAGTGTTAATCCATTAGACTCTGAAATGGATTCCTCAATTAAAAGTAGCAGATGGTCAATTTATGAATACTCACTGCTGGAAGCAGCACACTTCAAGTCAAATTAAGCGGACAATAATCTTTTTCTCACCTAGAAGATGGACATGGAAATGCTTTAGACTGCATCCTTCCTCTGAACAGCTTAGGCACTTGAATTTCAGTCAAATGCTGCTGCTGAATTTCAACTGAACCAGTGTACTCCCATTTTATGAATAAATTACCTACCTCTGACTACAGTCTTATACAACCATGGAGGGTGCATTTATATCAAGATCCATGCAAGAGATTTTCATGCCTCAAGTCCCCATACTTACATGCTCTAACTAAATCTTTAAGATTTTATCTATGATTTTCATCCACCCAGATCAACACATTGGCAGCAGCTCTTCTTGGGATCACTCTAGCTTAAGACCTTATTCCAATTCATCACTCAAACTATTAGCAAAGCTATTTACTTATATCATGTTAGGACAGATCCCTACAAAACCCTCTGCAGCTTTGCAAAGCACTCAAGTAGATCTTGATCCTGACAAGTGAGTAATCAATAATGATCAGGTTTCCAGGTATCTTTTTACACCTTACAGTTACTTGCCAGCTTACTTAAGGGGAAGTATGAGAGCTTCCAAAGGCCACCAAGCTCTTTAAAATGCCATTAAAAGCTATTTCATCATATCTTACAAGCCAAATATGTAGACATTAGGTCAGGCTACAGGAAAAGGTCATGAATTCTGCTCACATTGTCATCTAACTGGTATAGATTGTTCTCTCAAAGACATTGCTATACTTTGCTTTAAAGACAAGGAAAATAAGAAACTGGTAACCAACAGCAAAGGGTAATTAGTGTTCTGTCAGAAGACAAATGACTGCCACTACTTAAAAATTAGACAAAAGAGACTTAAGTTCTAATGGCCAAAACTGCCATAACCATACAATCACAGAATGGTTTGGGATGGGAAGGGCCTTAAAGACCACCTTGTTCTGACTCTCCAGCCATGGGCAGGGACACCTTCCACTAGACCAGGTTGCTCAGGGCCCCATCCAGCCTGGCCTTGAAACTCTGGTATAATATAGCAGGGGCAGGTAAGATTGAAAGTACCTGGCTTTTTGACCTGACAGAAGTAATTCTGAGATAACCAGTATCAAGCACAATACCCACCAATCCAGTACTCAAACAAGAGTGCTGACCAACGAGTCTGGCCAGAATAAAGAGACTGGCTAATCTAAAGGAAGATTAAAGAACACACTTAAAGTCAAAAGCGGCAATTCTAACTGCAGAATAAAGGTAAGACTCAAGGCAACATAAGCACAGTCAAAAAAACCCTCGAAACCAGTTTTTATGTTTTGGGTTGAGTTATGCCAATATTTTAAATGAAATTACACCACTGCATTTGCTTGAGGTTCAACTTCCATGCAAGAATGCTTGCCCGTAGATGTGAAGATCCAATAAGAGAGGCTGAGGCATTTTTGTTATAGTCAGCTACCACAAGGATATTCTGTATTCTGCATTCTAGCACCAAATGTGATGTTATATTCAGCACTGATCTGAAAGATGAACAATAATCATATTCATAAATCTGGTCTAGCATCTAAAACTGTAGGAAGTCATAGTGACTCTATATTCTAATGAGAATGCAAATTATGATCATAATCATATATACTCATAGCAGGACATCTTTCCTGAAATAAAACAGCTAATTCCTTAAGAAAGCAACAACAGACCCTGGAGGAAAAAAAAAAAAAAGTTGCATTTGGCAGCAGTGAACCAAACAGTAGTTCCAGAGAAGAAAAAACTGCTCCTTATTCCTTCAGTGTCTGCTGTAAGAGGGGAAGGAGAAAGTGATTAAGGCATTTATAGAAATTCTGATAAGCTTACATTTGAAAAGCCAAAGGGAAATTAAGACAGTGTTGGCTTGATACCACAGTTCAGGAAAGATTATGTAGTATAAGTTCAGCTTAGTATAATAACGATGCAATGATCAAAAATAAAGATGGAAAAGTGCATAAACACCAGTCAATGGAATTTCTCTTTATCAGTCTGTAATTTTACTGGCTTAACACACTCATGACCAGGTTTTGATAAGCTTACTTTATTTATGACAACATTAGGGAAATCAAGCTCAATGAAGAAAAATAAGGGCATGGGGATCAGACATATCCTTCCCTCCATGCAAGAAGTATTTATCAAATTGAACATATTTTTATCTAAAAAACCCGCAGCTGTTAGCTGTCTAGAATAGCCAAGAACTTAATTCTCCCTTATCTCTCCACACCATTAAATCATGAATCATTTAAATAGAGTAACCTTCAACATTATGACAGCCCAGCATTCCTACAAATATTCTGCTGAGTATCCCCTGTCTGATCAGTTAGGATGCCTGAACAGCAGTATGCTCATTCACCTCCTTTCATATGCATCAAGAAAAATGCAATTTGGAATCTGCAGACAAATGTACAATGTGATGTTCGATTTTTCTATAATATGACAACATAATGCCCAGGACATCTGTGTTTTTCAACTATCCTAAAGTGCATCTGCATTAGGGTTATTTCATATCAGGACATATTCCTACTGAACCTCCTGACAGCTGTTATTTATCATGCTTTGGCTCATACCATGGCATAGTATTGGGGCACATGAACTCACTTCATCCACACAAAAACAGGTTCAGAAGGAACACTCAAGGAGCACACAGCTCTAGTCACCTGGAGACTTAGTTTCATAAAATATCTTTAGTTGGAAGGGACCAACAGGGATAATTTAAATCCAAATCCTGGCTCTACCCAGGACACCTCTAGAATGTCACCATGTGTCTGAGAATAATGTCCATTTCTTGAATTCTGTCAGGCTTGGTGCTGTGACCATTTCCCCAGGGAGCCTGTTCTGGTGCCTAACCACTCTCTGGGTGGTTTCATAGGTGTGGAGTAGGTTGGTACAAACTGTAATTCCCAAAATACATACAGGAGTTCTGTTAAGTCACCAGCATTAACTACTGAACAAGAGACATCCCCAGCTGGTCCCCAATACAGCCACATTGGCTGCATTCAGACTTTTACAAGCTGCTGTCACTCAGATACATGCCACAGGAAACTTTCCTTAGCCAGGTCCCCAAGCTTCCCAGATCTGACACAAATAGAGATAAACACTTTGGTATTATTTTCAGCACGAAAAATAAACAGAAGTCAATGCACCCTGAGAATCCTTTGCTTTCTATACTATTCCTTTGACCACCAATAAAGACTGAAGAAATGTTCACTCAAGAGCTAAAACAGTTGAGAACTTCACACACAGCCATCACCTCATGTGCTCCAGAGCTTCCTAAAAGAGGCTAATTTTTTTCAAGCAGTTTAATATTGCAGAGGAGTAAGGCTGGTTCTTACATGAGGAACAGATGACATTATCTTCTTACAGAAGACCTCAGAAACCTATTACTTAGATATATCCCAAGCCTGGAGTACAAAATTGTACTAGAAACCACATGACATTTTATGCATCCATACAATGGAAGCTGAAGTATACACCATAAAACAAGTATAGCTCATGTATGACTAATATTGTGATAAAAATAAAGATACAAGATAAACCTGTATTGATTCTTAGCACTCAACACTAAAGCAGGATTACAGGTGAGAGAAATACTACAGCTTGAAATGCATTAATTCTTAAACAAAACTGATGCTTCATGTGTACCAAGGAAACAGAAATGGCACACACATTACAGATTTTTACAATTATTTGTAGTCTGTGATACTTTGCATATGACTACTTAAGCAAGAGTAAGTTTCTCTTTTACTGTAGGTCAGTCAGGTCATGAGATTTGTGTGGACAGTTGAAGATTCACCCAGTAACTGCCTGTATCAAAATGCAGAGTATTTGACAATCACAGTTTATTTTACGAAGGAAATGAAGCAATATGACCTGACCAATATTGTGCACTGTTCAGAATCACAGAACAGTTTGGGCTGGAAGGAACCTTAAACATCATCTAGTTCCAACCCCCTGCAATGGGCAGGGATACCTTCAATAGACCAGCTTACTCAGTTTTAGAGATAACATTTGTCACTCAAGACTACCAGAATTCTCATAAAAAAATAAAATACTAACAGGGATGAGAAACTTCTTGATTTCTTCTAATGCATGTCCCATTCTGGCATACGCTTCTGCAGGTGGAGCAAATACTTCAATCAAAACATGTAGATCATCATTTAGGTGGAAATACTTCGCCTCTCCACTTTTTCTCAACTCTTCCTCCTAGGAGGTAAGAAAAAGATTGGTTTTACACTCTTGTTTGCAACATTGTAATGCAAGTGTTGAAGGAATTTTCAGACACTGTTCACTCATGTTCAGATGTCTGCAACTAAAAAAGTAACACAAAGTAAGAGCCAACAGCTTCTGCTTACATACAGAAACTGTAGCACAAGGAGGAATGCCCCCAGGAGTTCTCCAAGGTGCAGGAGTCTCATGAAGAAGACACTTTTCTTCAAAGTCTACAGACACAGGTTTGATCTAATATTCCACAAGAATAAGCTTTTTTTTACCAATATTATTTCAATCTCAGTATTACTATGCTGTTCTCAATGAGTGCATCCTTCACAGAACTGTGCTATTTGGACATAAAGCTAACAGCATTTGAGATGAGAGAACATGAGCAAAAAGAGTTCACTAGCTTTTTCAGAAGCAAGCTTATTTCTTTCATCTTCCTTGACCCAACCCACTTCAATGACTGCAAAGCTGAGTTCAGTGGAGTGAAGCAGAGCTCAGTTCTCAAATACTGATATTCTCATGCAAAATATTCACAGACCAACAGGGCAGCACTTGCTTTTCTCAGGCTGCCCCCACCTGTATGTACTTGACAGGTCCAAGAGATGAAACCAGCACTAGAAATAATTTCATTGTTTTACCAGATAACACTATATCAAATAACTAGCAGTTCTGCTGCCTAAAAAACTGACACTCTCCCACAGCTTCCTATATTCAGCAAGCACCAGGTAAGCACTTCACCCTTTACTAAAATTATAAGTTGCAATGATAGCTGAAATCTCCTCCCATGCACACCCCTAATTACAAGTTGAGGTTTACATGTGACAATCTATTTCTGCTTCTCATGAATAACATTCTTATCAACATGATTTGTGTTTAACTATGAAGATGCTTAAAAAAAAAAAAAAAAAAATCAGTCTTGATCGCTGTCAGAGTACCCAGAGCAAGAATATGTCACTCAGCAGGATTAGACTCCATCAGCAAAATCACTATTTTGTCAATACAAATAAGAGATCTTAAAAATAGAAAGTAACCTAATATAAACATCACAGAGCAAATATTCAGTTGTAATAGGAACAGCTTATCAATTAAATACTTCAGACACAGTTACTCAAAACATAAGAGCCACTAGCACTGGAAGCTAGTTGAGTTCCCCATATACTGGCTTTTAGTATATACTTGCACCATGCATTCCCTGTCCATTTCTCCAAAAGAGGAAAAAAAAAAATCACTGTGCAGTTCATTTGTGCAGAAAACAGAGCACTAAGAATCTTCTTTTCTGTGTTTATCAATCAAGTTGACTGATAACAGCAATAAGCAATAGAGAAGTCAGAATTTCCTATGTAGGACCTGGTAAAAAAGCATTTTAATCAGCACCTTTAACAAAACATACAGAATTTTAATACAGGTTTTTTTTAAGATCATTCCCATAATCAAACTTTTAAAGTCACTCAGGGCTTTTTTTGCTAAGTTTACTTTTACTATTGTATTTTATTTTAGTTCTGTAACATGACTTGGCAATGCTTCCAATACTTTCTGCATTACTTGCAAGGCCAGAAGTTGGACTTGGATGATTCATGCAGGCACCTTCTAACTCAGGATATTCTGTGATTCTAAGAAAACACTACACACTAAAAACTCCTAGCACACACTGGATACATCTCACAACCTTGGGAACACATTAAGCATTTCAGGCTTTTCTTTGTTTCCCATGAAGAACAACAAAAGCCACAACTTGTCCTCATTCCAGTATCCTTCTCTGACAGAAATTTAGCTTGCATAAAATTCTCTGTCTTCCATTATTTGACATCTATTGGCTTGGTTTGCCCACTGCATGTGGAATCTTGGCTTGACTGGCCAAAGAGAGACATTAACCAACAATCAATATTAGGATCTCCTATGCTTTTTCATTTGTTCCAGTTTTCATTACAAGGTTTGTTCTCCTCCTCAAAAATTTAAGGTAAGTGACAAAACACCACTGACATATGCAGGCCTTACCTTTGTCTTGTCCCTCATAGAACCCTTGCCCAAAATAGACATTTTTGTCAGTGTTTCTTCTTGTAAACGCTTTAGAGAATTACCACGTGGACCCAAAAGTTTTCCCACAAAGTTGAACTGTAAGAAAATAAAACAAAAAAGCCACATTAACCTCATTGGATTTTTAACTGTAAATTGAGCAATGAATAGTGAGTAAATTAAAAGAGATATTTTGCTGAAACAACTTTTGTCATAGGTGCAAATTATTAGATCATAAATTAAAAACTAAGTACAATCATATAGTACAATTAATAGAATGTCAGTGGCTCCAGTAACAAAGAAATATCTGAACTCAAGGATAACTTGGTGTCTACTACAGGCTGCCAGATCCAGAGGAGCCTGTTGACAAAGCCCTCTTACTCCAGGAGGCATCATGCCCAAAGTTTTTGTCCTACTGAGGGACTCCAGCCACCCCAACATCTGCTGGAGAAGTGGCAAGGTGAGCTGCAGGCAACCCTGGAGACTCCTGGAATGCAAGTGGGATAACTTCCTATTACCTGCCCAGGTAATAGACAGACTACCAGAGGGGAAGCATTACTGGATCTGTTGGTCACCAATGCAAATGTCACTCACTGGGGACAGCAGCAATCACACTGGATATGGATTAGGCAAGGAGTAAAGCTGGGCTCCTGAACTTAGGAAAGCAAACTTCCAGCTCTTTGGGGGGCTAGGCAGTGAGATCCCCTGAGAGACTGCCCTCAGGGATGAGGGAGTGGAAGAGAGCTGGCAGATCTTTAAGGAAGTCATCTATTGAACACAAGAGTTAGTGATTCCCAGCAGCAGATTTCAGGCAAGAGACCAGCACAGCTGAGAAGGGACAGGCTGGTCAAACCAAAAAGCAAGAAACATAGGCAGAAACAGTGGAAGTTAAGACAAGTGACCTGGGAAGAGTATAAAGTGTGGCTGTGTAGAGCTGGGGTGAGGAAGGCCCAAACACGGCTGAACTTGAATCTGGCAAAGGACAAAAAAAAACAGAGAGAGCTTCTCCAGGAGTCCAACCAGAAAAGGGAAGTTAAAGAAGGTGTTACCCCCCACTCCCATCGATAAACCATGATGGAAAACTGGTTGCTACAGACAAGAAGGTTGAGGTACTCAAATGAGATGACACAATCATGTTACAAAGATAGTTTTAGGCAGCAATAAAATATAGTGATGCTGAACAGCAAACAGGCTTAAGCTTTGTGGCCTCAAATTTATGAGACAGTTCTTAAGTTCTTTGCTTGTCCTTCTTTTACTGTCACTGAAGATGGGCTGCAATGATCTCCCTGTTCATCTGGAGTTATTTGAAAGGACTTAACAATGGGGCAATGGCAGTCCCAAATCTCTTGCTGCTACACTGGAAGTGCTGATGGAACAAAGACCCAGCTGCACTCACCCTACAATGCAGAAAGTCTACAAATTCAGTTCATTTCTTTCAGCTTTAGACAAAAAGGAAAGCAAGCATTAAAGGTCAACTAAACAGGAAAATGTAAGTTTATTCCCCTACTAGTAGCAAATTTAATTCCCAATGTAAACCTGATGTAATATTATTGAGAAAATGGCTTATGAATTACTATAGTCCTCAGAAGCTATTAAATTTAAGGCCTTGTATGAACCAGTCTTCCCAAAAGTTATCAGGTCACATCAAGAAATTACCAGGAAATTTCTTTAATTTATTTCTTTTTATTAGAGTTGTCCACTTTTTCATATAGGTCCTAAGATATGGTCAAGAAAAATACCAATCAGAAAGACTGAACAGATATAGGTAGAAATCTCCCTTGCTGAAAATATTCAGGACTCAGGGCCATTGATGGGGTCCTGTGCAATTTAATTTACAATCATTATTTCAACAGAAGGTTGAACATCTGAAGGCACAGATGTTCTCTAGAGATTCCTTTTAACTTGGACTTCTGATTTTATTATTTCTGAAGGTATAAGTAAGGAAAGCAAACAAATTGAAACAATTTGCAACAAATTTGAATTTTGAGAAGTCAATTACTCCTTATCAAGAGTTTCCTTAAAGGAAGCTCATAGTAAAGCTTTCATGTAGTGGAACACCCCCTCAGTTCTTCAAGCATTACTTAAGATTACTTATATCTAGCCTTTTTATAATAGCCTTTGAAGCTACTGGGAAGAAAAATGAACACTTGCTCTTTATTGCACCTATATTCTTTTAGTTAAAACCAAGTAGTTTAATGTTGTGTAAATCTAAAACTTGACCCACTCAGCTTTAACACCTCCAAAAGTTGTCAGCTTTTAAAAACCATGAAATCTCTAGCCTCAAAGTCAGACATTGCAGAAGGACTGCACACATGACAGGTTCTAGACATATTTAATGAACATGAAAATGCATTGTCTGTATCCTGAGTCAACTGAACTGTTCTTTTCTGTGCACTGAGGCTCCAAATATTTGATTTGACAAGTCTGAAGCATAAGAAACTTGTGTTGCAAGTCTGAAATTCTGCTGATTGAAAGCACAGTACCTCTAGGTGTAGCTTAAAAGAATAAATAGGTTAGTAAAATACGGCTTACAATGCAGTCACAAAGAATTTTTGCTCCCACATAACAAAACAAAAAAAGCTTTGGAACATTTCAGTTGATTATTCCATATATAAAATCCATTAATGATATTGAAGGAATCCTTTCAGTAGAAAACAGATTATTTACTTTGAACAGGTACCGCATTTTGTTAAAATTATTGGTCTCCCTTTTACATTAAAATGGAAACATCTGATCAAAGGTTTATTTTGAAATATTTCATAGATACAGCAACACTCAAAGTATCAGTCACTTAGTTACTATTTTTACTTATATGCTGCTTTCAATCAAATAATAGGACTCAAACCTAAAGGTACAAATCCAGCACATAGTAAAACAAATTTTACTTACAAAATTGGCAAAATCTGTTTATTTGCTGGTGTTACAGAAGCAAGTAAGCCTGGCAAAGCCAGGTAAGCTCTTACACAAGATTGCTCACATACAAGTTGCATGGGTGCCTCCCATATTCCACATTTAGGGTTTATTTGCCACAAGAGCACAAGAACAAAGAACAAATTCAGGTTTATTATTGAAGTCAAGCTTATAAACTATCTCTGAATTACACACTGGATAGTAACAGACATCTGAGCAGCTCTGCCCGAGTCAGACCATTCACATTCCCCAGTGCTGGATCAGAATCAGACCTGCCAGACTCCCCACTTTACTCACCCCACTAAATACAGCACAATCACCTCCAAACTGCTGCAAATACCAAAAATAGTCCTCAGCTCCACCAGCTTCAGCTTAGCACTGTGTTAAAGCAGTCACACTGTGTTCCAGTGCAAGCTGGTGAAGTTCAGTTCTACAGGACAGATGAATTCTTAAGAGTCAATCATAAATGTCACTCTGTACTGGATCACCTTTGTCAAACCAGGAATTGTCTCTGCACTAAGACAGTTTCTAATGCATTAGTTGAGTACCAGTAAACTATGAACAATGGCATATAAAAGAGGAGATAAAGTCCCCAGCTCAAATTTGCTTCTAGACCAGTTCTGAAGGATTTGGTAAATATGGTATCTCAAGCAAAATTACAGGCATATTTGCAAAAACAATATCAAGACTCAGATCAACACCTGGGAGGGAAACAATTAGATAAAATGGGAAAAATTAGCACCTCAGCAACACTTCTAACCAAATAACACTCAGCTATTGATAAATGGTACTCTCTGAACAAAATATCATTCAATAATACATTCATTTGGGCAAAAGGATGCAAGATTTGAGAGGTGTTCTTATTCCTAAAATCTGATCACTGAAAGCACATCCTCCTGTACCTCTGGTTTACCTTGTGGGTAAAGATATACTATGCAGTGCAACAGCCCTTCCTCAGATTCCTGAAATACAGGATTTTCTCCTGAATATGGTGCCCATTAGCTGGCAAATATTGGTTAACTGTACTGAAAGAGTGTATCTGCTTCTCTTTTACAGATGATCCTAAACATAACAAAAAGTAACAAAAATCTCCATTTTAAAATACATCTTAAATAGGAAAAATCTTTCACAATAGAAATAACAAAAAAATTGATAAGGTTTTTGCTTCAAAATTGTTTCCTTTCTTAGATATTCATAAATCCTAATTTTAAGCAGCATTTTTTCAGTTATTATACAATGGAAATTATGGGTATCATTGCATAGCACTCATTTCTTCAGAATCACCAAATCAAAGCATGACTTGAACAGTTGTCTAGAGATTTGTTTCCTTACCACATCACTGCTTGCAACTATTCCCTGAAAACATTTCTGGAGAAACAATTACAAAGAACATTCAAAAAGCATTATATTCTCTTCAGAATCATTTGATCTACTATATGAACTATATAATTAAAAAAAAAAAAGAATTAATTCCAGTGCTACAGCATTTTTTAATGTATATATTACAGAAAAGGGGATATAATAGAAAAAGTAATCCTTGTTTATCCCCAACCAAGGCAAGTCTGCTAAGAATGGTTCATCCAGCTTAAAACACTTAGTGAAAGTATAAATGCTTGACCAAATGCTTTCCTGTAAAGCTTTAAGCACTCCATTGTTATTAAAGCCATAGAAAGCTTTCTTGTCATATTAGTTTTCTGCAATGGTTTTTATGTGACAGAATCACTAGTAAAAAAATAAAAAGTTAATTTAAGATTCAAAGCACTTTCCCATAAAATGACCTGAAACAAGGTAAACTTCAAGGTTTTTCCTATCCATCTCAGAAAGATAAAGTTTCTATAGAAAGCTAAGTGCTTCAAGCATCAATATTCTACCACAAACTACTCTCCTTCATGTAACATGGTAATGGTCTTTAAACATTTAATCATAGCAGAAAGCTTGGTCAATTTTAATATAAAGTTGCTTAAAAGTTATCCCTGCCATTACAATTGATGCTTGTTCCTCCACATCACTTCTGGTTATGCAACCACATTTTCTCATTTCTGCTTTAAAAAAATCCTTAGAGCTGAGCTATTATGAAAAATTGCTTTCTAACTGATCATGTGATTAAAATACTAATCTCTCCATGACTTTACATAACAATGGCAGATACATTGTATATGACAATGACATTTTAAAACAGGTATTTTCAC